GACGAGGGTCCCCGACCCTCAGAGGCTCAGGTCTGCTCCCGGCACACCGCCTGGGGTGGTGACGAGGGTCCCGACCCTCAGGGGCTCAGGTCTGCGCAGGTTGTAGAGATGAAGCGGGTGGGACCACATTCCTGCCCTGAGGCCACAACAGCCCCCCCTCCTTTTGCAAACCGAGGAGCAGAGCCTGGAGAGTCTGCGTCATCCTGGTGGGGCCAGCACAGAAAGAGGCCTGAAGTAGGGGCTGGCGTTTGGGGCTGGCCGTGTGTGCGTCCTGCCATCAGGCCTGGGCTAACCTGGACCTTGTTTCCCTCTGCCCTCCAAGCCCAGACAAGGTGGGCTTCATGCAGGCCTGCGAGAGTGCCTACTCCAGCTGGAAGTTCTCTGGCGGTTTCCGCACCTGGGTCAAGATGTCGCTGGTGGAGACCAAGGAGGAGGATGGGCGGGAGGCGGTGGAGTTCCGACAGGAGGTAGGGGCTCTGGGTTTGCGTGGCTCCTGACGGCTTCTCCACACTCGCGTCTGGGGTGGAGGGGGCCTTCACAGAGGAGGTGGCCTCTGAGCAGGGTCTCAAGGAGAAGCAGACCGTGGCCACGATGAGTAGGCGTCTGCGTGTGTGGGGGTGGAGGGTAACAGATGTGAGACGCCGTTTGCCGCGTCCGCGTTCCGCACGTGTGCGGTTCGGTGACGTTATCTGGCGTTCCTCGCGTTGCCCGGTCCGTGCGTCCATCTCTTCCCAGATGTCTCCGTCGCTCAGGACAGAAGCTCAGTGTCTCCTAGGCAGTCCCCTCCCACTCCCTGTTCACCCTGGCGACCCCTGGTGACCCCTGGCGACCCCTGGCGGGCTTTGTTCTCTGTACTCTCGAGAGGCCCTCGGCTCGGGTGCTTCATGTGCCTCGTCGGCCGTGCAGTTCCGGGCCCTTTCCACCCGTCACGGCTGCTCCTCCAGCACACCTGCATTTTAGAGAGAGGTGGGTGACTTGCCCAGGGGTCTCCGACGCCAAAGCCTGTGTTCTTAGCCCTGCGCCCCTGGCGTTTGGGAGGCTGGTGGAGCGTGGAAGGTGATTATTTTCAGGGAAGAGAGGCGTCTCAAGTGCTGTGCACCTGGTGGTCCGTTGGGATGCAGGAGGAAGTACTGGCTTTGTTTATATACGTATATATATTTTCTCATCCTTTTAACATTTTTATTTTTGAATGTTTTTAAATGTAGATAAAAGTAAAACAATAATTGTACATGTTATGCCATTTATAAAGCCATAAATAAACATAGATTGATTGTATACTTAGGATTTTTTACTAGAAAGGAAGTGTGACCACAAAGCTTACGGCCCACTGGCCTAGAGGCCCGGGGGTATGGTGCTGTGACCCAGGTGAGAGGCCCGGGGGTATGGTGCTGTGACCCAGGTGAGAGGCCCTGGGAAAGGCACGGCAGTGCGGATGGAGTGATGGGAAATTTTGGTTGCCTGGGCCAGGCTGTCAGCCACAAAACAAGGCTCGTCCCCACCTGTAGGGCGTCCACCCCCTCAGTGACTCAGGCCTCCTTCCCCCGTCCACATGTGGGTACGTGGCTGGGCCCTCCAGAGGGTGCGAGAGTTGATGGGTGTGTTATCTCACCCTCAGTTCCCCCTTGGAGGGTTCCGTCCGGCGCGGACTCTGCGGCTCAGTTAGGAGAGGTCTGGACTGGAGCCGAGGAGCACTGCCCCCGGAGATCATGCGCCAGCGCGGCTGGCACAGCCTTGGGTAGTCTGGAAGCTCCGACTCGGGCTGCGTTTCACATGCGCTGCCCCCTCGGACTACCCCAGGTTGGAAAGCTTTGGGAGAGGCTTAAAGCTGGTTTCTTTAAGGGGGCAGGTTATTTTCCTGCTTTGGGGGGTGACAACCCCAAATCGTCAAGTTTTCCTGTTCTGTAGTGTGACTGTCTGCTCCTGGACTTTTAGTCAACACTTTCTCCGAGAACTTTAAGTCCTTTCTCAGCTGGCCCCACAGCAGTGCTTAAAGGGGTGAGTGGCTCTTTCACCTCACAGCTTGGCGCAAGCCTGCTTTCTCGGCAGCTCCAGCTGTGACATGAACTTGTACGCTGTACATTATTTTTGTGTGCCACTTGAACCATTTTTAAGTGTACAATTCAGTGACATTAATTACATCCATCATGCGCTGCGGTCACCTCTGTCCATTTCCAGATGTTCTCCATCACCCCAAACAGAAACTCGGTGCCCCTCAGGCAGTAACTCACCTTCCCCCTCTCCAGCCCCTGGTAACCGCTGCTGTTTTTGTGTATTTGTGTTTCACGTATGTGAGATCATACAGTTTGCCCTTTCGTGCCCAACTTATTTCACTCAGCGTAATGTTTTCAAGGATCCTTGGTGGCGCAGCGGTTAAGAGCTTGGCTGCTAACCCAAAGGTCGGCAGTTCGAATCCCGTAGCCGCTCTTTGGAAACCCTGTGGGGCAGTTCTCCTCTGTCCTGTAGGGTTGCGATGAGTCAGAATCGAGTCGACAGCAATGGGAGTGTTTCCAGGGTCCACCCGTGTCACAGTATGTGTCAGAACTTCGTTTCTCTTTACGTCTGAATAGTCCACGGTGTGCACCGCGTCGTTTATCCATTCGTCTGTGTGGACGCTTGGGTTATTTCTGCCGTTTAGCTCTTGTGAATAAATGCTGCAGTGAACATCTGTTGGAGTCCCTGCTTTCAAGTCTCTTGGCTATATACTTGGGAGTGGAATTGCTGGGTCATATGGTGTTATGGATTTAACTGTGTCCCCCAAAAATTTCACTGTAAATCCTAACCTCTATGTCTGTGGTTACAATCCCATTTGGGAATGGGTCATCTTTGTTATGTTAATGAGACAGGATTAGTGTAGGGTATGTTTTGAGTCAGTTTCTTATAAGATATAAAGCGAGATTAGGACATGCAGAGATGAGGGAAGAGCGACACCAGACCACGTGAAGATGGCCCAGGAGCAGAAGCTCTGAGAGACACATTCCCCAATAGTCAAGAGAGAGAGAAAGCCTTCCCCTGGAGCTGACGCCCTGAATTCAGACTTCTAGCCTCCTAAACTGTGAGAAAATAAATTTCTCTTTGTTAAAGTCACCCACATGTGGTATCTGTTACAGCAGCGCTGGATAACTAAGACACGTGAGTTCTGTGTTTAACTTTTTGAGGAACCACCGAACTCTTTTGCATGTTGGTTGCACCATTTTACAATCTTATCAACTACGCACGAGGGCTTCAGTGTCTCCATGTCCTTGTCGACACTTAGAGTTTCTGTTTTCCTGATAATCTATCCTGGTGGGTGTGAAGTCATTAGAAATGTTTTATGTATCTTTTTAATTGTCTGAATTAAATTTGTCTAAGTCTTTTGGCAGGAGACATGAGTTCTTTTGAACCAAAACTAAAAAATGTTTCTAGACACGGTTTTAGAGTTTAAGATGTTTTCACATACGTTCTCAGTTGATCCTCGCCACACCTGAATGAGGTAGGCATTTTTCTCCGTTTTACAGGTGGCAAAGCTGAGGCTCAGATCAGATGACGGGCCCCAAGGCCCCTTTGGGCTAGGGCCAGGCCTCTGCTTCTCCATTACACCACATGGCCTTGTAATCATTATAACCAGGTCTTATCAACATGCCTGCTAACTCTTTACAGGGGATACTCAGCTCTGTGGATCTGTTAGATTTTACTTTGACCTGTTGACTTGACAAGGTGAAATATTCAGCTCATAAGATAAAATATTTTGTAATTTGGGATTTTGATGGCTTTTATGAGCCCTACATTGTTGTCTGGATATGGTTTGATCTTAATTGTGAGTACAGATATCTAATGGCAGATTTTGGTGACCATCTACAACACCCCCAGACAACTGTGGAAGCCAAGGTCAGGCCGAGGTGTGGCCCCGGCTCAGGTGTGTGGCTCTTGCTTTCTTGTGGAGAGTGGAAGTCGGCCTGCTCTGACGGCGCCCCTCCCAGCCACAGGCTGACACTGCTTCTTGTCCTTTCCATCTAGACCAGCGTTGTTAACTACATCGACCAGAGGCCAGCCGCCGAGAAAAGTGCTCAGCTGTTTTTTGTGGTCTTTGAATGGAAGGATCCTTTCATCCAGAAGGTCCAAGATGTGAGTAGTAGTATTAAGATTATGAGAGCAAAGTTCCCGCCCTGAAGCATTCTGGCTCATCCCTGCAGGCTGATACACCTGTCTTGCTTTCCTCAGCCTCTTCTTTCAGAGTATGTGGCCGTCTGTAGCTTGTATTTATGTTATAGACAATCTTTGCTAAGTGATCTTCTCTTCATCCCCAGACTGTTGTCTTTGTGGTGGGGATTCACCTTTTCACTTGTCTGGCATCTAGCACGGTGCTTAACAGAGTGGCAGCTCAGTGGTAACATTACCTGAATGAATTGAGCAGAAAGTATTAAACGTGTCTACACTCCTGTTATCGGAAGGCCTTCCTTTTTAACAGTTCTCTGTAGGATCGATACTTTTTATTTGTGGCAAGTCAGAGCAGAAAGGTGCAAATAGAAAATTAAGAGAGCGTCAGTTCAGTCTCAGACAAGGGGGAGCAATGGGCAGCTTTGCTAAAGGACATTCGTGACACAGCGTCCACAGGAGCCAGTCCCAAATCTGACTGGCATTCAGATCACAAACTGTCCTGATGTGGCCGCAGCTTTAGGGGAACAAGTTTCATGGCTGAGACTCAACCTGTAAGCGTCCCACCTCAGGCAGGGTCCGTGTGACAGGGATGTGCTCTGATGTCACCACACGATCGAGTGGGAATCGGGGCCGTGTGCAGAGGTGTGTGCAGAGGCTCTGGGTGGAGGAATAGCAGCCTTCGGCACCACAGATAAAACATGGGCTCAAACGTCTTTAACTGTTGCGTGCGTCATGAGGCGCCTGTCAGACCAGGGCGAGCTTCCGCGTCGTCAAGCAGCCGCACAGCAGTCCTGCTTGGTGCGGGTGGTGTGACCAGTTTGCGTGAGGACACGGAGTCTCCCGTCACCCAAAGTCGTCCACGATGCTGGGACTTCAGAGAGTTCCCCTGTACCAGCTGAGGAATTCAGAAATCCAAGATACGACCTCTGCTTTAAAGAGTGTAGCATCTACTGAGGGGCCGTTTATAGCTGGAAAGTTACTCTTCTAGGCAGTGACTGCCAGAGGAGTTTGTAGGATGAATATCTGCTGAGTCCAGAGAAGATTGTGTGAGTGGTCAGAGAAAGCTTTGAAGGACTCGTAGATCTGGACAGGGGGAAAGCATCGTAGGCAGGGAAGAGAAGGAGCAAAGGCCTGGAGGGAGGCAGGAATCCATGAGGGGAATTTGGCAGGAAAGGCAGTCACTGGACTAGATAGGAGGGAAAGTTTGAAACTAAGGTGACGGATGGGAAGAAAACGAGGAACTGAGCTTATCGGTTTGATACGGTTTTAGGATATTTGTAGCAAGGTCACTTATTTTTGGATTAGGCCAAAACTTAAAGTTCCATGCTGAATCTCTTACTTGTGTAGAGCTTTTTTGGAAAACATGTATTTTTTCTTTCAGAATCACTTTATTGTAAGGGAGGGGCTAATATTTTTCTTCTCAAACTGAGCTGTGGCTATTAAAGGTTTAGTCTGAAATACAGAGTTATGGCAACTCTAGAACCCACGTTTTTTCTCATCATCTCAATACTTTAGGGGTCTTTGGAGAAGAACACTAGCCTGACTTAAAAATCAGATTGCAGCAAACCGAGAAAACCTGTTTGTCTTACAGATAATCACCGCCAATCCTTGGAACACAATCGCTCTTCTCTGTGGGGCTTTCTTGGCGTTATTTAAAGCAGCAGAATTTGCCAAACTGAGCGTGAAATGGATGATCAAAATCAGGAGGAGATACCATAAAAGAAGAGGTCAGGCAACAAACCACATCAGCTGAGGTCACCTTGTGTTGCCTGTAGAACTGTCAGAGGAGTGGAAGTTCTCGTGACTTCTGCTCGATAACCAAGCTGCCAGCACTCCTGTATTCTGAAGAGGTGGGGACAACCTGTCAAACTGGAACGTCTAACCTGGCCCAAAAAATGCTGTTCAGAGCCTCGTGGAACGGACCCAGTGAATAACCTCAAAGTTATTTAAGTATTTATTAGTGAACATTTAAAAAGATGTCCAGTGACATATGGATAGGGTTTGTAGAAGGAGGATGGAAATGGATATCTATCAAGTTTTCTGAAAGTTACTCAGCTGTGGGAGATGCCTTTCTTCCGGTTGGGCTTGGTGTACTGGTAAACTCACACATACATTCTACCTTGGGTCCCTCTGAGGTTTTTAAAGTGGACGGAAGAGTGTGATTTTCTTTCTCCAGAAAACTCAGCTGTCCAGATGTGTGGGTCATGCTTTGAAACCTGTTCCTGTAGGCAAGAAAAGGCAAACCTCGTGTCCCTGGCACTGTCTGCCGTCTGCACTCTCCAGCCTCTGACAGGTTCTCTCATGAGTTAAGTGAGACTTTAAAAGCGACTGGAAACTAGTAACTAAACATCTTGTGGACTCGCCAGCTACTTACCTGTTGATGCAGGTGTCGGATTGCGTAACGCGCAGACGCACTACGGCAGTTGAACGTAGTAGGCGCCAACTCAGTATGTTTCGACGATTTCATTAACGTAGAAAAAAATTCAGGCTAATAAAATTGAGTATGCTGGCACGAATATCAGGAGCCCTGGTGGTGCAGTGGTTGAAGCACTCAGTGGTACTTTAGTTGCTCCTCGGGAGAAAGATGTGGCAGTCTGCTTCCATAAAGTTTACAGCCTTGGAAACCTGTGGAGCAGTTCTCCTCTGTCCTGTAGGGTCGCTGTGAGTCGGAACTGACTCGACGGCAGTGGGTTTTTTGCTTTGGCACGCTAGATCAGCAGGCACCAATGCTCTTTCATCCTGTGACCTCCAGTCATAAAAGGTAGCATGAGTCTAGAGTCCCGAAATGGAGCCAAGGTTATAACTGCTTACAGAAGAGTAGGTTGGGCATGCTGATGGATGAGGATGGCCAGGAAGGGGGACTATCAGGCCCCATGGGTAAGCTTGAGAAGCAGGCCTTCAGCCTAGCCTCGGACAACATGAGTACTTAAGACAGAAAACCACTGCAGTATTTTTCACATGGTAGCCATGGGCTGATTTAAGGTTATAAAAGTTACCAGAGATTTAATTTACATGCCCTTTGCATCCAAAAGGACTTAGTAGCATTTCTTAACCTGGCTTTAGATAATTCAAAGAAAAAAACTTCTATGAGTAAGCCACTTTTATCTCGTCTAACTTAGCAGCAGAAATTGTTTGGTTGAACTATTGAAAGTGAACTGTGTGAAGAAATACTCCCTACTACTATTGAGATGGAAACTCTGGTGGCGTAGTGGTAAAGTGCTACGGCTGCCAATCAAAAGGTCGGCGGTTCAAATGCACCAGGCACTCCTTGGAAACCTTGTGGGGCAGTTCTGCTCTGTCCTGTAGGGTTGCTATGAGTCAGAATCGACTCAGTGGCAATGGGTTTTAGGTTTTGGGTGCTTTTGAGAGGTCAAACTTTAGCCAGGGTCTCTTCTCTAAAAAATCTTACTTTTAGGGCAAATGCAAAGCCATGCATAAAATTTATAAACACGAGAGCTTACATTAAAAGCACTGAAAACAAGTTTGTGGTTTTTTTCTTTTAAGGTATAGGTAGTCCCCAACTTACCATGTATTCTAGTTACGAGGAACCGCACTCAGCGACTGTCTTTTTGTGGTCTGTCTTAGTAATACGTACTACACACAGTGTTGTAGCACATAATGTGCTGATGTTAGTCATTCTCAGATGTTCATGAGCAGAAGTTGAGTGTTACTGTTTACTGTTCAAAACACTTGATGAATACCAGGCTATGGGGAAAAAAATAGTATTTGTCTTAGGCTGAGTATTCTAGAGAACCAAAACCAGTGAAGTGTATGTGTAAATATTTACAGAGAGATTTATCTCAAGGAAATGGCTTACGTGGCTGTGGAGGATGACAGGTCCCAACTCCATGGTCAGGCATGAGGCTGGAGGCTTCGCCTGATTCATGTGGTTGCAGGGGCTCGTGAACCCAAAATTGGCAGGTCAGATAAGCTGTTGGCCCACGGGGCTGTGGAAACTGATGAATCCTAGAATCGGCAGTCAGACAGCAGGCTGTTGGTTCAACTCCCAAGAACCAGAGGTCAGATGGTGATGAGCCATATGCAGGATCCAGAGCTAACTTTATTGCTAGAACATCCGTATATATATAGGATGCAGGCCACACCCCCGAGGAAACTGCCCTTACAACTGACTGGCTGATCACATCACATCATGGAGGAGGATTACATCAGATTATAACATGGAGGATGACTGCATCATTATGTAACTGCCAAACCACTGAGAATCATGGCCCAGCCAAGTTGACAGGCAACCCTAACCATCATAGTCCACCCCTTGTCAAGTTGGCACCTGTGCACATCTTAAACCACAATCTCTAAATGCAATTACAGAGTCATATTTGCACCTCACATGATATAACATGTACAGCCGAAAACGTACTAGCCCCATTTACATCTTATAAGGGAGGAAAGAAAACAATTTATTCTGCTGTGCCCTGTAGGGTTGCTGGGAGTCAGAATTCACTTGACAGCAACAGGTTTGGTTTTTTATATATATACACATATTCACATAAAAAACAAGAAGTATAACAATTAGTCTTCCTTTCTGCAACTGGTCACATGGTCGTAGCTAGTACTTAGAACCTACCTTCTTCCACCACCCATTCCGTATTCCCTTTACCCTCAGCAAGCACCTCAGCTGGTTGTGGTTCTTTGCCTGGTGGGGTGACCCAAGCCTTCATTCATGAAGGGTCTGGGCCATTAGTAGTCATATTGGAATTAGGTTGCTGTAGTTTTCCACTGACTTCAATCACAGGGCCTGGCAGTATTAAGAGACGCCCCAAAGGATCTCCTGCATTCCAGATACACTCTTCACCTCCATTGTGTAGTATCAATCCAGTTTCCTCTTGGTAATCAGGATTAATCACACCAGCCAATATGGTAACTCCCTTCTTTGCCTGTTGATCCAGAGGCATAAGGAGCCCCAAATGGCCAGGTGGCATTCTTCCAGTTCAGTGGAATCAGTGTTGTGTCTCCAGGTGGGAGCATTCCTCCCTTTGGAACTAAGACTTCTAGGTCTGCAGAGCATAGGGTCACGGGGACAGGAAGCAAAAATCTTGGGAGTGGTTCAGTAGGGGTAATAGTGGTGCCACTCCCATTTCGACCCCTTGATTCCTGGATCTATGAATCCTGGCTATGGGAGAAACAGCACCATACATTGGATGCTGGTTTACAGCATATACAGCCTCCTGGAGAGCATTGCCCCAACCCTGCAAGGTAGTATTGCCACCTAGCTGGTGCCATAATTGTGTCTTTAGAAGGCCATTCCATCATTCTGTCAAGCCAGCTGCTTCAGGATGATGGAGAACATGGTAAGACCAGTGAATTCCATGAGCATGGGCCCTCTGCTGCACTTCATTTGCTGTGAAATGAATCCCTTGATCTGAGGCAATGCTGTGTGAGATACCATGACAGTGGATAAAGCATCCTGTGGGTTCACAACTGGTAGTTTTGGCAGAAGCACTGCATACAGGGAAGTTGAATCTATATCCAGAGTAAATATTTATCCCAGTAAGAAACGTTGCGCTTTCCATGATGGAAGTGGTCCCGTGTAATCAGCCTGCCAGCAGATTGCCAGCTGATCATCTCGAGGAATGGCACCAAATCAGGGACTCAGTGTTGGTCTCTGCTGCTGGCACACTGGGCACTCAGCAGTGGCTGTAGCCAAGTCAGCCTTGGTGAGTGGAAGTCCATGTTGCTGAGCCCATTCATAACCTCCATCCCTGCCACCATGGTCACTTTGTTCATGAGCCCACTAGGCAATGACAGTAGTGGCTGGGGAAAGAGGATGACTGGTTTCCATAGAAAGCATCATCCTATTTGTTAAAATTCTACTCTGCCGAGGTCACCCTTTGGTATCACATGAGACACAGATATCTTCACTTCTTTGGCTCATTCAGAGAAGCCTATTCACATACCTTTTCCTCATACCTCATCACCAATTTTCCAATCACGTTCCTTATAAATCCTTGACCATCCAGCCAAACCACTGGCCACAGCCCATAAATCAGTATATAATTGCATATCTGGCCATTTCTCCTTCCAAGCAAAATGAACCACCAGGTGCATTGCTCAAAGTTCTGAACATTGAGAGGATTTCCCTTCACCATTGTCCTTCAGGGAGATCCCAGAAAGCTGCAGTGTTGCTGCTCTCCATGTTCAAGGGGCGCCTGCATATTGTGCAAAACCATCTATAAACCAGACACGAGTCTTCTCTTCCTCAGTCACCTGATCTTAAGGAACTCCTCATGAGGCCATAGCTGCAGACTGGGAGATGGAAGGTAATGGGACAGGAGTGGAGACCACGGGACTTTGTGCCACTTCCTCATGCAACTTGTGCCATTGGGTCCTGCTGGAGCCCAATCTCATATATACTGCTTCATTTAATGATGGAGTGCTGCTATGCACATCTGACTTTGTGAGTCAGACAACACCCAGTTCATGATGGGCAGCTCAGGCTGCATGGTGACTTGGTGGCCCGTGGTTAAGCATTCAGTCTCTACTAAGGCCCAGTAACATGCCAAATTAGTTATCTGGAGAGGGTGGCAGGGCTTAGCTCCAAAATCCTGAGTCTGCACTGTGATTCACCTATAGGGCCCTGTCAAAGACTCCAAACAGCATCTCTAAATGCCACGGGCACTTCAGGCACCATTGGATCAGCTGGATCATATGGCCCAAAGGACAGAGCAGCTTGCACAGCAGCCTGAGCCTGTTACAGAGCCTTCTTCTGGTCCCCACTCAAAACTAGCAGCTTTTCGAGTCACTTGCTAAATAGGCCGGAGTGGCACGCCCAAACGAATATGTTGTCTCCAAAATCCAGAGTTCCACCAGGCATTGTGCCTCCTTTTTAATTGGAGGGGCCAATTATCCTTCACTTTAGAAGGAATATCTTGACATGCCCCACACCACCAGACTCCTAGAAATTTCACTGAGGTGGAAAGTGCTTGAAGTTTTGTCAGATTAATTTCCCACCCTCTAGCACGCAAATGTCTTGCCAGCAAGTCCAAAGTCATTGACATTTCTTCCTTACTAGGTCCAATCAGTATAATGTCATCAATGTATCAGTGTTGATGTCTTGTAGAAGGGAAAAGTGATCAAGGTCCCTGAGGACTAAATTATGACATAGGGCTGGAGAGCTGATATACCCCTGAGGTAGGACAGTGAAGGTGTATTGTTGGCCTTGCCAGCTGAAGGCAAATTGCTTCTGGTGATCTTCTGAAACCAGAATCAAGAAAAGGCATTGGCCAGATTTAATAGCTGCATACCAGGAACCAGGAGATGTATTAATTTGCTCAAGCAATGAAACTATATCTGGAACAGCAGCTGCAATTGTATTCAACACCTGGTTAAGTTTATGATAATCCACTGTCATTCTCCAAGATCCATCTGTTTTTTGCACAGGTCAAACAGGTGAGTTGAATGGGGATGGTCCTGTATCCTTCAAGTCCTTGATGGTGGCAGTAATCTTTGCAGTCCCTCCAGGAATGGGGTATTGGTTTTGGCTTACTATCTTCCTAGGTAAAGGCAGTTCTAATGGCTTCCACTTCACTTTTCCTACCTTAACAGCCCTTTCTCTACTTGTCAGGGATCCAATGTGGGGATTCTGCCAGTTGCTGAGTATGTCTATTCCAATTATGCATTCTGGAACTGGGGAAATCACTACAGGATGGGTTTGGGGACCCAGTGGACCCACTGTGAGATGGACCTAAAGTAAAACTCCATTGATAACCTGACCTCCATACACTCCTACTCTGACTGGTGGGCAACAGTGATGTTTTAGGTCTCCTGGAATTAGTGTCAGTTCAGAGCCAGTGTCCAGTAATCCCAAAAAGTCTGATTATTTCCTTTTCCCCAATGAACAGTCACTCTCATAAAAGGCTGTAAATCCCTTTGGGGAAGGCTGGGAGCAAGATTAACAGTATAAATTTTGGCAGTGTAGTGAGATCCTTCCTCAGGGGGACCCGCCTCCCCTTCATTCAAGGGGTTGTGGGTCTGTAAACTCGCTCAAGTCTGGGAATTGATTGAGGGGCCCTGACTATTCTGGTGATTTGAGTTAGACTACTGTTCACTTGACCTAGAATTCTTCCACTTGTACAGATCAAGTAAATATTTAGTAGATATCTGACTTCTAATGACACCATGACGAAGGAGCCAACACCGTAAGTCCATGAGTTAGACTATTCTGATTACTGCGTTGACTCTGCTGTCCATTACAGTAACCACGCCCACCTTGTCTTTGGTGATCAAGTGCTGCCACTTGGCTACTTCCACCACCAGGTCCATTCAGCCCCATTGTAGTTACCAACCCGTCACCATCAATTCCAACTCTTAGCAACCCTATAGCGCAGAGGAGAACTGTCCCAGAGGGTTTCCAAGGAGCGGCTGGTAGAGTCAAACTGCTGACCTTTTGGTTAACAGCCAAACTCTCAACCACTGTGCCACCAGGTCTCCTCATTGTAACTAGGTGTCTTAATTCAGTTACAGCAGTTCCCACTGTGAAATTTGACTTACATAAAATAGCAATTACAGCAGTCTTCAGTGATACTAGGGCTCCCTTTACAAATTTCTCACCATTGTGGTGAAAGGTGTGCACACAACTGCCAAACTACATCTTTACCTCACTGCCAAACCACCGAGAGTCACAGCCCGGGCAAGCTGACACCCTCAACTACCACGGTATTCGACTACATCAGAACTGACGATAGTCTTTGTAACGGAATCCCGTCATAAGCTGGGGACTACCTGTATCTCTAAAGACGACACATCCCTTTAATATTACTGAAGTATCTACTAAAATTTGCTCTAGTGATTATACTAAAACTGTATTTTTTGCATTGTGGAAAGTTGAGTGGCCTCTTAAATGTGCTATAGTTAGAAAGTAAGTGAATATTTTTAGTAATTCAAGGAAAAAAAAAAACATTAACAACTATTAACTATATGCCTAGACCTTCCCTTCCACAAAACAGAAATACAGACCTAACCTTCACTTTCTGGAAAGGCTTGCCGTTCAAGCTCCGTGTTTGTAGTAGGATCATCCTTTTCTTATAAGCGTCCCCAGTTGCCAATGATACTGGTTGGCCCTGGATTTGTGTGGGGGGATCTGGAAGGACGCCTTATTTGGGTGGTTCTACAATACCAGTTACTTGAGAATGTTGAAAAACATGAGCCGCTGACCCTAAAGGAAGAGTTTCTCCCAGGACCACAGAGAGCGAAAGGAGCTGCTTCATGATGACCCAGGCGTGGTGTGCAGAACCTGTACTAGAGGTTTTTAACGGGTGTTAAAGCCAAATTAAACATTAGTAGTTGAAAACACTTTAGAATGCCTGCCTTCTGACTCTGTCACAATCCTTCTGCCCACCCCCAACCAAAACCGAACACCAGTGTTAGTTATTATTATGGACTATGAGATTTAGCTTCCTTGGTCTATTTTAATTAAAACTAACATTTAAAATAAGTTAAACCTATCCTCTGAACATACAGGGACATGAAGGACGATGGAAGGATATCCTAGAACCTAGAATTTTAGAATACATTCTGTAATTTGCCTCAAAAATGTCTGTGTGTACACATACGTATAATATGTATCAAGGGGGCCAGGCTTCTGAATGCTTAAGCTTGGAGCTGAAAAAAGCAAAGATGACATAAGGCAAAATACAAACGTAGACTTTATTAAATGCTGCTCAGTCCCCCAGTGAAGATCTTTCATTACAAAACAGCTTTCCACATGACTGCAAGTTAAGAGATTGGAATGGTACTCTGATAACAAAATATGTGAGAAATACCTGACCAAGGTAAAAACATACAAGACCTCTATAATCAACTTTTTCAGAACTCTAGTGAAGCCTGCTGCATTTCGTCTAAATAAGCCAGGCAGTGACAGCTAGCGCTCTGCATCACCACGCTGTGGGCCTCAAAGTCTCCATCCCCGGGTGAGGAGGGACTGGGGGAAGGGCAGGGTGTAAGGACTGGAAAGGCCCCGCCTTCAGCGTTGACAGAGGAAGAGGAGGATGGAGAGGAAGCTTTGTCCACCTGCGCTGCCTCTACTACTGCTCATCACTCCTGGGAGCTGCAGACTCAGGAGGAGCAATCTTAACGATTTTGGTTTACTTTCCCAGCTTTTATTTATATTTTGTGCTTTAAAAAGCCTGGAAATTTAAGTTTTCTGCTCAAATTCCAGAGTGCAGGTAATTCCCTCCAACATAT